CTCTCTCTCTCTCTCTCTCTCTCTCTCTCTCTCTCTGGAATGTTGTGCGTGTTTTTGTATTTCACGAAACATAGGTATTTATGGCAGGCTACATGCCGGGGTTTCAATCATTTTTGCACTTGTTATCACCGCGACCCGCCCCCTCCATCTTTATCCCGTCTGCTTGTCTCGGACATGATCGATTTACATGCACATCCACGTTCCTTTCTCTTTTTCTGTCTTCATCTCATACATAAAGCAAAATGGAACAGTCAGTGATTGATCATTAATGAATAAATGTCTATTAATTGGTATTTATATTAGATAGTCTATATCCACTGAATAATATTTTAATAATAGATTTATAATCTAAATATTATCTTTTAATAAAATAGATTGGACATGTGTAGTGTATAATGTAGTGCACTTAATATGAATTAATTTAATTATAAGAAATAAATTTGATTTTAATAGAATAAGTTTTTAATTGCGAGTATCTAAATATGTGGAAAGACGTTATAAAAGGAGCTTCGGAATAAAGTTGCGAATACATTGAAGATACGCTCTCAATTTCTTGCATTTAACAAACACCTCGATCCGCGACTACCGGAATATTTCTAAACCCACACAAATAAACTTCATCATACGGAAATAAAATAATCTTTTGGACAGCTCGGTGATACAAGTTTTTTACTTAACGAGACAATGCACACTTTTTCTTTTTTAGTGTTTACAAAGTATTTAATTCTAATTGCCTAGTTGCAGTTCATAATCATAATTACAGTTCATTGCAATCTTAAATAAATTCGAAATGAAAAATAATAAGTTTTTTTACATAATACAAAAATACAAATAAGATAAATGTGAATTTTTTTTATCCTTGCAAAATAACATTTTTGTTATAATTCATAAGTCTAGATAATTCTAGAAAGATGGAGGAAATACCGTACTTTGAATTTTATCAAGACCCTAAACCATTAAATATGGACGTCGAGAGGGCTCGTCGACATTTCCACAAAGGTTTTAATTTTAAGTTGGCTTCGATTCCATTAACGATATCGCTTTCCTTCGATGAAAAAGATCTAAGCTCAATGGCTGCAACATTTATTTTCTTCAACAGAAAAGAATCCGAATAAAGTCGCACAGTAAAACGTCTTAATATAACTTTAAAATTCGATAAAAAAGTATATACTTCCAAAGACTTTAATTGCTAGAATTAAAATGTTTTTCACAATTGAAAATCACTTTTATCCCAAAAGACTTAAAATACCGCAAATTTACCGTCTAATTACAGAAATCTATTGTATCCATGTAATTATTAGAATTTGAAAAATTAAAATCAACTCATTGCAAATATAACTACACTTTTCTATATCACAAATATATTTAAAAAAATTTTATCAATATAATTTTCACATATACATGTATATATATATATATATATATATATATATATACGCACATATAATTTCTAGAAAAATATTAAATTAACTTAGAAAAAATTTCTAATTTAAGATTAATAATTCGCTTGCCTATTATTTTAGAAAATAAAATTGCTCGCTTCATAAACATCTTAGCTACAGTTATTCACGCACCTCGTGAACAAATGGCTGCTAATCTTCGCCCCGAAGAATAACAAAAGTGTTCAACCGATCGAAGCAAATCCGGCGTTATTATCAAATTATCACAGCTAAAGTCATAATCGGTACCGTACGGAACGTGGTGCGTTGACATAATACATGGGGACGAGTTTAACGCGAGTTTGACGGGAAAAGTCGGATCGACCCTTCCTCCAGTTCGTGAGAAGAGGGGCCCTGCTCTTGCTCTTTCTCTCGAGAGGAGGAGATCCCGATCCCTCGAAAGTACAAGAACGCGCTGGGGGCCTTCTCTGGTGGAGAAGGGTGAAAAATTGCAGCGACTTATTAAACGGAAAACTTGGCCGCCCCCGGGACGGCACGGGACGAGACAGCGGGACCCAGCCGCGTGCCCCACTATGATATATGTATGCCTATCGGGTAAGAAAGTTTTGACGAGCCCGAGCGACTGCCGGCTGCGTTATTATTGGCGATAAATTGTCGAAGCGCGCCGTTCTCTCAGCCGGTCGACGCGAAAAAATGAATGAACGAATCCGCGAGGTTGAGCCGAAGAACAAAAACGCTCGCCGGATGTACGCAACAACGTGAACAATGTCGCTTCCCGCGACAAAGCAGGAAATACTAAATCATATATTTCTTAAAATGGAGTATATTTTCTTAAAAATTAACCTATAAAATTAATCTATATGTCTAACAGAAGAGATAATATAAATTTATGTCTAATATTAAATTAACGCACTAACTACCGTGTTGACTCCTATTTCCCAGAAAATTTGGTACTTTAATTTGTTAATTTTTTAGGAGATTCTGATTCTATTTTATTTGTTTACTAGATAATATTATGTAAATTTTTCACATTAAAATATATTTTTCAATAAAATATATTTTTCAATAAATTTTAAATAAATTTTCGATAAAATTAATATCTAAACGCTTCTTTAGAATTCATAACATACTATATAAAATTAATGTAAAGTGCTCTCCGTTCATATATTATTAAATTAATATTAAAATTAATACCTTAAACCCACATAAATATTCAATTACTGTCAACGTTAATATTGCTAACTAATTGTAAACAAATGTTTATGCTAAATTAAAATAAGAAACGAATTGATTCCAAGTTGATTAAACATATTATGTAGTATATTTAGTGTCAACGACATAAAAATATAAATGGTTTCTTAAACGACAACTAACTTTCTACTGTTCCGAAGTGCGAGTTATCTATGATAGTTTTATAGTATTATCGATCACATCTTACGAATATTTTGTCGAAAAAATATTGTAAAAGTCGATCATTAAAAAAATTGAAACCGCACGGATCGAAATTTGTCTACTGAACGATAGTTTTGACCTAAAACGACCTGTCGACCTCACAACAAGAATGTAGTTTCATATCTATGCCGGCATCTCTTTGAAAATGAATAGCTTTCCTTTCTTCGGTTTTGATCAGACATCTATAGTAGATTTAAAAGGTATTTTATATTATTGCCATGAAAATAATTTTAAAAGCATTGGCACATCAAATCTTCGACTTCGGTTGTACTATAAATATAATAATATTTACGCTACATTTGATGAAATATAATCAAGATATAGTATTCTGTACGTGGAGTAATGAACTACTCCAATCATGTAAATTTAGCATATGTGGGATTTTCACATGCATATTAACAAAATAGAAAATCAAAGCAAATAAAAAAAATTAAATAACTTTTAAATCGATAAGAGAATTGTACTTTGTGCTTAAATTTTACATAGGTAACAAACGTTAATAATAGAACAATCTATGAAATTTTTTTTTTGATAATGCTTTGAGACATACATCTTTGTAACACATACATCTTTAAAAAATTGTGTTTCCTTTTTTAATATCTATGTAATAGATATTAAAATTTAATATCTATGAATTCTGAATTCACATTTTACAATATTGTTCATCTCAATCTTTATTATAATATCTTAATTTGTCCATAATCGTCGAGTACATTAGTTTCTTTAGTAAATTTAATTAATTCGTTGATGTTCTCGAGCAACTTACGACAGGACTGATCAATCCCAAAGTTTCAATTCGCGAATAAATCGATCCCTAGACAATCGACGAAATGTCGTCCTATATCGTAACCAGCATCTCTCTCCGCGGGTTGTAACCACTTCTCTACGTTTGACAATATTCTTCCCTACGTTTCCCTTGAAGATGCGCGCGCGGCTTTCCGGATAATTCGAGGCGATAAGCCTGATGAGAGGGTTTATCGTTAGAGGGTTTTCCCCAAGCCGTGCCATGCCACGACAGGGTGCAACAACTAACTTCCAGGTTCTTTTCGCCTTCTCTCTCTCTCTCTCTCTCTCTCTCTTTCCTCTTCCTCTTCCTCTTCCCCTCCCTCTTCTTTCCCCGTTTCCTTAAAGTTCCATGATTCTCTCCGTAACGGAGATTCAAAGCGGAGGGCCGGGCCTAAGTAAGAAGCTACCTGAAAGAGGAGGATCAGTGGGGACGAGATTTAAGCCGGTGACTCGTAAATCGCAGCGGTCCATATCCTTGCTCGCTCCTCCTTGTCGAGAGTCGATTGCTTCGGACGATCGATCGACTATGAAGTCCAAAGGATGAAAACAGACGCGTACGGAAGGGAATGGCCGATTAAGGAGAGACAATTCTGAGTACATTTATTTATCGCGTGGGCACAAGAACATACGACGCTGACAGTTATTGGCCGCATCAAGCCATCACGCAACTTACGGAGAGAAATTCAAATCAAGTATGGCGGCGGATTTATGCCGTTCGCGCGTTTTTCCGGCACGACGAAATGATCCTTCCACCATCGGTACGATCCGTAAATCGGATGAATGCCGGAACTTCGCCGAAGGCCACAGGCGAGTCTGCGGTCCTTGGCCAACTTTTCGCGCGGACAATCGCGAAAGTGCGTAGCGAGTGACGGCTCTCAAAAGCAATTCGACAACGTCCTAATTGAGCCTTTCGCTGCCAGTTCGTGTCCTCAATTTCGATCATATTTTATATAGGATTATGTTAACATGTTTATTTATAGCACAATTATCATTGAAACGAAGTTTGCGCATTTTAATATTAATTCATATAAACATATAAAGAAAAATAGTTTGTTTTGATTGTTCATTTTAATTAAAAAAAATTCTTTCCTTTTTTTTCTTGAAAGAACTTAACGTTTCCTAAAAAGAATACGGATGAAGAATTGACGAGTAGTAACTATCGATCTAAATTATAGTCATGGATGATCTCAGAGTTATTTAGTGAATTTAGAAATTGTTCTCATCGGTCACGGCGTTGCGATTGATTTAACGCTTATTTCCTGGACACGACGATCCTGGGAATCGGAATTCTTGAAGTCGAGCGATCTCAGGAGCAAAGTTGTTCCAGACCAGTCGACGCTGGTCGCTTGATCGGCCACGTTTTTTGCCCGACGAGTCGTCGTCCCTGCGGAAGGCTGTATCGAGAAGAGCAGAGGTACAGGAGGAGATAGAAAAAGAGAAAAAGATAATAGTTCAGCAAAAAGGTAAGATGCGAGTAATCTAAGTGTCGATTCATCCCCGCCGCATCGATGCCCATCGCGTGTCGATCGAGAGCTGTATTTTCTCTCGAAACGCTCAAGCGCACCTAAATTAATTCGTTTGGCCTACCCTTTATAGAAGAAAAAAAGAAAATACGCTTTCGCTTGACTAAAAGGGAAAAGTATTGAGAATAATTCGTTTATGATTAAGATAAAAATTGAGGTACTAATATGTGAGTCAAATTCCATCTAATCAAAGTCATTTGAATTTATGATGACTAAATTCAAATTTTAGAAAAAAATTCAACTGATATGTGAGATCGAAACTAAGTTTGCTTTATTTATCTGATTCAAACGTATCCCATCATTAAAATGGAAGAAAGAATGAATTTTTTACAAGATAACAGACAAATCTAGACATGACAACAAATATAGATACATGCAATATTTATGCTTAAAACTCACTACATTAAAAATCTCGAAAGATTTAAAGTTTTGTTAAAATAAAAAAGTGTAAGGAATATAGAACCCAGTTTTTAAATACATAAAATAAATCTAACGTTCATGTGACTACCTAAAATAAGATAAACAATAGCGATTTAAATCATTAATGGCTAACATAGTAATTAACAATTCTACATTAACGTCTATGTGTTTGACGCGTTGAAGTCGCATTAATTATGCCTCATTACTCCATACCACATCCTTAACGTGCAAGAAGAAGCGAAGGGCTCGTAAATTTTCGAAATTAAACGGCCGTCGAAGCCTGAAAATTAGACGACAGGCAGTCAAGAAGAGAAGCGTGGAGTTCGGGGCCGCGAGGCTTGCGAAGTTCCGAAGGACCCTCCATCCTTCGGGAGTGTCTTGGAGAAGACAGCGGCGGATAGTCCCTAACGAACTTATCCCGAAGGCTGAGTGCCGGCCTCCGGTACGCCTGGAAATGTACACGTGCGTTTCCGCTTCATAGGCGTACTTTATTTTCGATACCTCTAAATATGTGTACATCTAGAAGAAAATAAAGGTAAAAAACAAGATAACTAAAGATACATAAAGGAGACATAAGAGATATATAAAGAAGCAATATACATAAAAATATCTAATTTTAAGTTGGAATAAATATTGTAAGGCCATAAAATATAAAATAATGTAATAAGATATAAATATGATAAATGGTAACCGATGAGAAATAAATAATGAAATTAAATACAAATTCAGAGTACTGGCTAAAAAAAACACACACACACACACACAAATTTATACAGATAATTAAATTTATACAGATAACTATAAAAAGGAACAATATCTCTCGGATGAGAAACATGCTGCGCCTATGGCACCGTACTTTCGCAGGGCGTGTGAAAAAGGAAGACAAAAAAAAGGGTAGCAAAGAGAGAAACGTGGACTCTCGTGGAAACTCACTTTCCGCTTCGAATCAGTCGAACCCGCCGTCCCTTTACTCGCGCATACACCCTTTTCCTTCCCAGTCAGAGTCGAAGAAAAACCAATGAGAATTCGTGCGCTGAGATACGAAAGGAGAGGAAAGGGTGTCGCACAGTAGAATGAAGAGGAAACTGTATCCACATCGAAATGGAAGCGGAAGTGTAGCATTCAAAAAGGGAGAAAAAGGACTAACGAGCGATAATAATCCGCGGTGTGGATGATAGCACGAAATTCGTATATGCGACCGATCGTTTCACCTTCAAGTCAAGGTATTTTCGTAGGAAGAACGAGACGTAACATCGACAAACGATTTTGCACAGCGAAGGCGTAGATTACGGTCCACCTTATCATCCTCCCACTCCCCGATTGATCACGCGAGCGAGCGAGCGAGCGAGTAAGCGCTTATGGATAAATCGCTGGAACGGCCGCTTCATTCTTATCCGAATTAATACGAATTTATCGACGGACGTGTATGTACTGTACGCTCGACACAGGGCGGGATGCGAATCTCCGTACCGTTTTATTTCGCCATAATTCTCGATCCTCTGGAATTATCTTCCTCATAAGGACGTACGATCATTATTCGTCATTCCTGGAAAGGGATTCAACCTCGACGTGAATATGAATATCTCTACGTACGTGTCTGTAAAATACCGTTATTTTTTAATTTCTACAACATTAGCGATGGCATCTTTCACTTTTACGGTTGAAAAAGTCAATCAGCAGCCGGATGATATTTTTCTTTCGTTTCTTAAAGACCGTAAAATTAACACGACGTATATAAACGATCGCGCGGCCTTTTTAAGAGTAACTAATAATAAAACGTGATACATTATCGCGCCAGAGGAATGTTACCGTTCAATCTTAACAAACGCGCGCGTGCGAATATATTGGCTAAATCGTCGCCTCTGGTTTCTGTCGGCTTAATCGCCATCTTACGTCGCTCATAATTAATACGACACAATAACACACATCGAACGCAGTCCACGCGCTTTTAACGCGCCGCCTCCTGCTCTCTACGCCTCATTCTCTTTTCTACCTCCTCCTCTTTCTACACCTGTTCCTCCTCCTGACAAACGACTTTCCTCTCTTGACCGTTCCATTCATCTAGCCCGACGAGACTGTTTGTATCGCGTGCGCCGTTTCGCGAAATGACACGGCTCACACGGCAATCGTCGACGGTAATAGGCACTTTAATTTTCACTATGAAAAAAAGGAAGTACGATTCCCGCATTAAATGCTCACGCGAATAAATTTATTCGCATTCTACCGACGCCGAGAATGCGTTTCCTACAACAGCTCGGCAATATAAAGACAGTGCTCCTGTGTGAAGGAGACCGACTTCTGAGGGAAGTTACTTTGCTTTATAAGTTGAAGCATTTACCACTAGAGGAAGCATAGTCCGTGTTTTAATGCAAAATGTGGCTCGCGGTCGAGAGTAACATCGCGATTGTAATAATCAGGATCAGGGTAATTGACCGTGAAAAGTAGTCTTTTCCGGCAATTCACTGGTGAAATTTCAAAGTACGATAATTCTTTCTTGCCAATTTTGAATAAATTATCAAAATGTGTCATTATAATTAAACTTTATATATGACAAAATGACAAGATTTTCATATATAAAGTTAATTGGATATATATGTATGATTTAAAAGAATAATATTTAGCACGTACAAACATAAAAAAGATTTCCGGATCTAAATTCTTCGATCTATTATAAAATAAGACTAATTCAAAGACTACCATATTTATTGTTAACAAGGGAATATTTTACTCTTAAATAAAAAATCATTAATATCTAGAATAAAATAATCTAAAAAAAAAGATTTTGTGCTAAACACTATGGTGTCAGCATTGTGTATTATAACATTAAGATTTATTATATTTTAAACGTAAAAATATACAATATAAATTTATATATGTTACTCTTGTTTCAATAAGTCAATCTTATTTTATTCAAGAAAGGAGAATTGGAGTTATTAATGTAATTTTAATATTGTTTCATTAAATTGAGATAAAATTAAGTAAGTGAAGAATATTTTTTGTCTCGTAATGAAAAATCTGAAAGAATACTAGAAAAGATCTTTTCATAAATTTATGAAATAAACAAATATATATATTCGCGACAATGAGGCGCCGATAAAAGTTTTGTGACTTTTAGTGTGTAAAACAAGAGGTGACTACTGAAGTGAGACGGAAAATGTGAGGAGTGCGAAAAGTAACGCAATCGAAATGGAATCGCGATGGCACTACTCCTTCTTCTAGACAACTTTTCCCTCGCAATGGTCACGGCTCGGTCACCACCCTCAAAATTATCCCACGTAAAAAACGAGCTTCGAAAGGACCAGGAGCAAGTTCAATCAAAGAGCGAGTTTTTACAACTTTTTTAAATCTCTGAACGCCGTCTATAAATATAAGATGAGTCTTTAAATTAAACGTCTTTTTTTAAATAGTTCTTTACAGATTTCGTTCACGTCTATACTAAGTCTTCTATACAAATAAAAAAATAAGTGACATTAGATATTATTATTTGAGAGAAATTGTAAACTTAGGAAATTAATAATGATGAACAAATTAATAATATTAACAACGGATCGTTGTTAAAAAAAGAATTTTAACATGAAGCAAAACTGAATTCTGAACAAAGCCTGATGTACAGCGGCTTTTTCATCGATTGATAATTTTCATAGCGTATCACGGCGCGCCTTTCTTCGCAAACGTATGCCTGCGGAATGCATAAGAAGAATGGATACAGGCGAAGCGACCATCGAGCTTTCTATCCAGTGCACATTCATCGTTGTAAGACCACGATGTGCATCCAACGTCCGAGCTGCAATCCCATAAAAATGCACTATGAAGCCAAGGGCAGACTTCAGACTATCTCGTAGTATCCTGCACTCGCCATTATTATAACACGATATAATCTCATTACAATAAATTCTATAAGACTTGCAAAATTTAATTTAATCTTACATCTTGTCCTTAATAAAATCGTAATTTTAATTGTTAATTTATTGCATAGTAATTTACAATAACTAATTTCTTTGTATTAACATTATTTCATATTTTTGTAATATAAAATTAATACTTTTCCGATCAAAAAATGAATTTATTTGTTTTTCTTTCAAAATTCGCTTTATTTTGATGTTAAAAAAAAATGATTGAAAATTTTCACTTCTCAAAATAATTGAAATTTTTCAGCGAGCAAATATAGTTTGTGATAGATATGTAAAATAAATATAATATATCATTCACATATAATATATGTATAAACAGCGGTATCTAATCTCGAATTCAATCTCTAATCAAAGTTAATGAAGTTGCATACGATTTCTTGATAAATTGAAAATTGGATCGCACATCGAGGGAATAGACGACCACGACTTTCGATTTTCTCTCCGCTTTCTTGGGGAAAATCAAGAAGTCTGCTCGCGTAGCGGCCGGATATGAAGCTTGTTACCGGCGATGGAAGATTCATCCGTTGCTTCGTAAATCCGTCTTCGATCATCGCGGTACGCACGCATAATACGAGACGCACGCTCCCGGCCCAATCCTACGACGCAAAGCGATTCCTCCGTGCGTGACCAACGTATAGAGTTACACGATCCCGCATTCCTAGGTACACATATGAAATTCGATACCGTTTGCGCGAAGAATCGTGGACCTCGCGCGGGTGAGGTGGCGCGAGACGGGACGGAAGAAACGAGGTACTGGCGATCGATCGTTATCGCGTACCACGTACGGCCGCACTTGTCGATCCCTCGTGTCTTCGTACGCGGCAAAAGAAGCAGAGCAAAATACCCCGCTGCCTTCTCATCCTTCTCTACCTTCGTATGGTATCCGATCTCGCAGCGATTTTTTCGCAATACTCTCCTCGATCCCCATTCCCCCTTTCTCTCCTACTCACTTAACGCGTCGCGTTTCCATCTTATCTTCGAATTTTTATCACGCTTCGTGATGCAAAAACACGTATTATCGGATTATGCAAGAAGGTAACGCAAACACAAGTCATATGCGTCGCTCGTGGAAAGTATCGTATATTATTTTATTGTAAAAAATGATAAACTATCTGGAATAGGAAAAATAAACATACGGTAAAATTTCAAAAGAAAAAAAAAATGTGTAGTTATATTAATTTTTTAAATAAAAATTAAAATTATTACTTTCATGAATTTCATAATCGATACTTATGTAAAATAGCAAACTGGTTTTTATTTTATTCTCTTCTATATTATCTGCATTTCTTAATAAGTAAAATGTATATATTGTGTAAATGTATTTTATAATATATTTTATTATAGTACAATATATTTCAACATTATATACAAAATTTACTTATTTCCAAAGGTTATAATGAACAAAAAAAATATGGGGTAAAAAATGCTCGTATATTTTCTTAAAAATTAACATAACGTCATAGGTTATTTCGAGCTATAATTAAATTAATTTAAAATTAATGTAATTAACAAACGTTTCGGCTTACAAAGCCTTCTT